CACTGACTGATTGAACTCAAGCAGGTATTTAGTGAACTAACAGTAAGAAAATAGAGTTCAAGAAACAACACAAGCTTTCATTAATGGTGAAAGATTGTACACAGAGTTCCCAAAGAAATGAGACAGTCTTTCTCTATTTCTCCCAGCCCAAACTAACTGTCTAACAGCCTCCTCTTATTACACACTCTCCTCCTATTTATACTACTCTAGTACTCGTATTTATTATTACTCTACCCGGGTTCCTATAATATCTCCCCCCTTAAACAACCACCTTGTCCTCAAGGTGGGTGATAGGAACCAAGCCTGAAAATCAGCTTCATCCTTGTGCCTCTACCTTCCCAACTCACTGATGTCTGAGCGAGGAGCTTCAGTACTTGATCTTTCCAACTCATAGATGTTTCTGCAGCATAGGATATATCTGGTGAAGTTTCATGTTCTTCCATTAGCCTTCAGGCCTTCAATAGCCACAAATGTTTCCTTGCTTTCCTGAGGTGTACCACCTACATTGTGTTCATGCCCTGAACCTCAGCATTCTCATCTGATATGAAGCAGAATCTGGGCTTGGAAGAAGAGGGGCAGAAGCCCCTGTGGGTTTACTGAAGGCGGGAACGGGCTTGAGCCCACCTTCGTGGGCCGGTTGCAGGCTGCTTAATTAATATTTATTCTTTTTAATTTTCCTGATTTGTTTCCTATTTGGAGTTAATTAGGATTTCTATTATTTATTTCCTATTAGGAGTTAATTAGGATTTCTATTATTTGTTTCCTATTTGAAGTTGATTAGGATCTCTATTATTCTGTTTCCTAGTTGGAGTTGATTAGGATTTCTAGGATTTTATTTCCTAGTTTGAGAATTAGTAGATGAGTATTTAAACCCCTTGTTAGGATTCATTCTTAATCATCTTGGAATAAAATTGGAGTTTAGCCTTTTGGCTCTGGGCAACGGTTTACCCCGTTGATTTTTATTTTTCTGCTCTCAACATCATTCTCGTTAATCTGCTCATCAGAAAGTATTGAACTAAAATTGCTTCAACTCCATTTGACCGTTCTCCCATTGAGTTACCATTGACAGCAATGACGCTTTTCAGTGAAACAATGCCATCTGCCGCACTTTGAATACACCCATCCCACCAAACATAGCAGGTATTTAGTGAACTAACAGTGAAAATAGAGTTCAAGAAACAACACAAGCTTTCGTTAATGGTGAAAGATTGTATAGACTATAGAGAGTTCCCAAAGAAACGAGACAGTCTCTCTATTTCTCCCAACCCAAACTAACTGTCTAACAGCCTCCTCTTATTACACACTCCCCTCCTATTTATACTACTCTAGTACTCTTCTTATTTATTATTACTCTACTCGGGTTCCTATCAGTGACCTGGTTTCTTCCCTAGATGTTAATAGCCCGTCCACCTAGCCCGTCCACCTTGAAGGTTTTATGGGTTGTGGTAACTTCCTTGCTCATTACTGATAACCACAATGATCTGAGTTCTATTTCAGTCTCATTCTCAAGAGATTCTGAAGCTGTGTTCTGCATCTCTGGTACTTCTTCCTCCGGGTCTTCAATCACTACTAACTGACAGTGCTTCAGTTTACACACGTGCTCTTTACCCCATATGCCCCCACACCTGAAATACAATCCTTTTCTGCTCCTTTCTTGTAGTTCCGCTTATGTTAATCTTTGGCCATTTCTCCATGGAGGATACTGTTTTCTTGTAGTTCCGCTTATGTTAATCTTTGGCCATTTCTCCATGGAGGATTCTGTCCCTGAGATTCTCTGGGCTTGGTTTCGGTTACTGTTTTCTCAATAGTGAGGTTCTGATTGGTATTTGCTCTTCATTTGGTTCCATCCACCCACTGCTGATATCTGGCTAGACTTCCCCCTTTTTCTTTCCATCCCCTTTTATCCTCCTCCTTGTGTCTCCCTCCTTTTAATGCAGTGTTCTTCTCTTCCAGCAGTAAGGCTTTATCCATCAATTCTGCCAGATATCCTTCAATCCGTTAATGAAAATTCCCCTCAACACCGACTCATCCTTGTGTCTCAAAGGGGCCACTACAAGCTCGAACTGTTCTCTATATTCCATGACTGTGTCAGATTGTTTAATGCCGAGCATGGGCCCATAAAAATTCTCAACTAATTCGGGTTGAAATCTGCAGATCTACGCATCCTTGAAGGTTTCCCAGGTTCGCTCATTTGTCTGCTCTTCGCACCACTGGTACCAGTTCAGTGCCTTCTCCTCCAGCGCAATAACTGTGAGCTCTACCTTCTCCGCCTCAGTCACCTGGTTCAACTTAAAAAACGTTCCACTTGTATAATCCACCCATACACATCAACCCCATTGAAAACTGGGAGATCAATTTTCCTTCCAGTTTGTATGTGATTCCAATAATCATTGATCCTTCGTGGTGAAGAACCTGAACTGCAGTGAGCGGAATTACCTCTAGACGCGGAAGACAAAATGGGAGTTTCTTGTTACATCCTTCTCTTCGGCGCAAGGTAGTCAAAGTCGTGAGGCGCACTCAAGACGATAGGGTAATTCGAGCGCCTGAGGCGCAAGGCGCAAAAATCGCTCGCCTGACTCATGTCAGGTGCATTGCTTAGAAAATATCGCACATACTATTCTCAAATATTCAAGTATGATGCATATAACACCATATTGAACCAACTACATTGAAAAGTCATGTTTTGATCAAATAAAGTCATGTTTCACCAAATTAAAGTCACGATTAACCAAAATAAAGCATATATACATCAACCCATGTCACATAAAATGGACTGGTAGTATGTATACATGGTAAAAAAATGGTAGTTTGGTAGTATGGACTGGCAGTATGTATACATGGTCAAAAAAGGGTAGTTTGGTAGTATGTTCTAGATAGTATGTATAGTAGTAGTATGTACTTCTCCTAGAAGTATACAATTAGTTTACATGTATGTTTAAGTTGTTTAGACTGTAGAACTGACTAACTGAGAAATATAAACAAGAGTTCTATATAGTGCAAGAAGAAGTAGCTGTTAGTTTACATATACATGGAGAAAAAATATACTGATAGTTTACATATATATGTTTAAGTTGTTTAGACTGCAGAACAAGAGTTCTATAGAGACATAGAGTACAAGAAGAAGTAGCTGGTACTTCTCACTTTACACATACATGCTGAAAAAAATACTGGTAGTATGTAAGAAGTAGCTGCTGAAAAAAGATAAAAGAAATAAAATGGAACGAATGGAAGATGAAGAAGAAGAAAGTTTACTTTGTGGAGGCACAGGAGGAGGTAGCGAACAGGTAAATGTAGAGCAGAGCATAGCAGGAGGAGGTTTACGTTGTGTATTTAGCGTAGGTTATTAAGTTGTTTTGACCTTATTTGCATGTGTTTTTATTAAAAACGTGGGCTTCTTAATGGTCTTATTTGACCGCACATGTGAAACAGCCTCAGTAAACTTAAAATAAACGATTCCCCTGTCAGGCGAGATGGGCGAGCGCCTAATACGACTACTGCGCTTCAGCGCTTTTTGCGCCTAAGCTGCGCTTGAGACAAGAGGGTGCGCCTGGTCATCTTTCAAGCGCTGGACCTGTATTGCGCTGCGCCTGGTGCGCTTAAGCGCCCAGGCGCTCGACTTTGGCTACCTTGTGGCGTCTTCGATCTCTCACGTGATCTGCGTCGCTCCTGGTACAACATCATGTTGCGTATAGTTGCGATCATGGTTCACATATCGTTGTTTTCTGCTCGCATGTCCTGAATACTTCGCTCAACATTTTCCATGCGGTTTTCCATCTTTGATCGCGTGAAGGGCATCCACCGGTCTTCATGAAGGTATGCTCTGATACCAGATGATAGAACACCAACCAACTACCAGGAAATCTGCTTATATTAAGTAATGGATCCTGATAAAAACTCAAAAATCCGTAGGAGAATTACAGTAGAACGTAGATAGAGAAAACAATAAGACAAATAAGAGTGTCTCTCTCTTCCCAGGGCCCACCCACTAACAGAATACCAGCTGCTTCTGATTCCCTTCCACCCACTTCTATGAATAATTTTCCACACTCAGGTAAGGCCCCCCTCTCCTTTTGAATATTTTATCAAAATACTCAATATTAGGTTTAATTACATCCTTGCCCTTGTCTCTATCAAAATGATGCAAATTTATGAAAAATTATCTGGAACTTAATTTTTAATGTTTAGAGGTAAGGTACTTAAATTATTTGTTTCTTTTGTGCAAGACTTTAGTGCCTCTTTATTGGTAACTTAGTAAGTATAAATTTCATGGCATTTGAGTAATATATTTTTGATTTATCATTTCTTGGAATTGACATGTAAATTGTATGCATACATATAATATGTTTTTTGCATATATATTGTCTAAATAGCGGTCATCCCGTTATCCGCTATACCGTTAAAGCGTCTTCGCTATGCTATTCGGGATTGGCAACACTCATCATCATCACCCCTGTGCCGCAAAGGCTCCCACCTACGGTGGGGTAAGGGGGGTCGGATGTACACAACCTTACCCCCTGTACTAAAGCACAAAGAGACTGTTTCCGGGTGACCCATTGTGTAAATCGCTGTTTAAATTTGCATGGACTGACTGATGCTTCATAAAAAAGAAGCGCACACATTTTAGTGAGTCATTTTGCTTTATTCCATCATATTTCCAAGCCAAAAAACAGTGTCTTTGGCTCCATTGCGAACTCGGGATTAACAACATTGATTTTCCTAATTTCTTTGTCACCTTTCTAAATCAGAATCGTTATACAATTTTAGTGTTATGCATATTGATTACTGTTTTATGATTACAGCAAAAAAAGGTCGAATATAAAATTTTCCTTCCTTGCCATTCCTCTTTATAACTATTCTGGCTTAGAGTAAAGTAGGAATTAAGCTATAGGGTTTGATGCCAAATGTGCAATACCATTATAACGTTTATACTTTATACATTGTTTCACAATTTTGTGTGATCCATGTATGAGCACACATTTGTTAACTTTGTGTGTTTGTAGGTGGGCCTATGAAAAATTTCCAAAAGAGGCCCCTCTTGCATTTTACAAGGCAGGTCAGCCTATACATCCTCCCTTGGAATTGTTTGATGGGTTTAAGGTTGTTCTAGAAAACATGATTGCTTATATAGAACAACATTTCCCAAAGCAACTTAAGTTTTGGCGTTTGCAATCTCCAAGGCATTTCTATGGAGGCGATTGGAATCAAAACGGCAGTTGTGTGTTCAGTGAGCCACTTGAACAATCTCAGGTATGCATATGTAATATCTCATTTACGCATTTTCGCCTCACTTGTGATTTAGTTCATTTAGTTGGTGCCAAAAGGAATCTTCTGTTCTTTTGGGAGTTTAGGTTATGTTTGGTCTGGGGGTTTGAAGGGGGAGTGTGGGGGATATGTTATTTTTATTTTTAAATTAAGTGAATCTTCTATATGGTTTATAGTATTAAAGAAAGAGTTAATATCTGATTTAGTCCTTTGATTATACAATTACTTAATTGGGTCGTCGACTTTTTTTGGGCTGAATTTGGTCCTCCGCTATTAGTCCTCATCCATATTTCGTTTTAACTTTTAACTAAGAAGGGTATTTTCGTACACTGACGACTACATTGGGTCCAAATCTCATTGTTAAGGACCAAATTGAGTCTTAAGTCTTAACTCTCAAACTTGATCTAAATTTAGGAAACGGATAAAATCAGTCTTCATTCAGATTTCAGATCCAACTATGCATGTGGACTAAATTTGGTCAAAATTTTAGTCAATTGCCAAATTGACTCCCAAAATTAACTTTAAACCATATATTGATTAATAGTGAAGAGCCGTAGGGTTAAATCAGGTTATCTATCACTTCATACTTCGTAGCTATTATTTTGAAAAACCGTCGCTGTTTTCTTAAAATGAAAAATAAACCCTCCCCTTCTTTCCCCTTCGAAAGCCTCTTCCTCATGGAACTGAAATATTTAGAAGTCTATAGATATGAGTCATTCCTCGCTGTTATCAATTGAAGCATCAACTTCCAGAAGTTCATTGGAAACTCTCACCCATTGTATTTGTTTTTAGGGGAAAGCAGCACTTCAAGTCCTTCAAGTGTTTGATATTATAATACTGAGGACCTGTCTTTCATTTTTTTCTTTCTAAATTTAGTCAATCAATTGTATCATCTGCCACAATTAGTGCATCAGGTTAACATATGTTTACATTGTTGCCATTAACTATTAGGGGATTTGGGGGCAATCAGAATTCCATTGCCAAGAATGCGCCACAGACCTTAATAATACCAAATGGGCAAATGGTGATTTTAAAAACCGGAATACATGTCTGAGATTACATAATGTGAAAAGAAGTATGGTTTCCCCTTATTTGTATTTCGTGATAAATAAAAGCTAGTTTGATCTATTATCCCAGAGATAAAAAATACATATCACTCGGTGTGAAATACTGATACCTAAACAGCTGGACTTATGGTTTGATCCCAGAAATGAGGGAGTGAACAAGGATGCCAGAGAGTTTAATGGTGTTATCAAGGAGGCAATAGAAAGAGGGTCAACAAGTATAAGAATACTTGATGTGACATCCTTGAGTGAGTTCCGGGCAGATGCACATCCCGCGATTTGGTTGGGAAAGAAGGACGCGGTGGCTGTTTGGGGTCAGGACTGTATGCACTGGTGCCTACCTGGTCTTCCTGACACGTGGGTTGATATATTGGCACATCAAATTCTTTCATCATTAAAGAGCATGGAGACTGGTTGATGATTGCTCAATCCAAACAAGGTTGCTGTTTCAAAGGTGGTAGAAGTCTCGTTTGAAGAAACCTGTCATTTCTTTTTCTTCTACTATTACAGTGTATTTCTGTCATCACTTTGGGTGCGTTAGGAACCCAGATAATGCCAGTGGAAAGAAAATGAGGAGGAAGATGAAGAGGAAGTTTGGAATTAAAGAAAAAATGGGAAAAGATAAAACAATTGGTTTGAACTCAACATATCTATATTTTAGGGGTTAGTTCAATGTCAAATGCAGTTTATTCGTATAAAAAGACCAGGACCGGATGTCCGGTTCCGGGCTTTTAGCCCGTGTGGGCGGGCCTGGCGGGCTGGGCTCGGGCCCTATTTTTGTTGAACCGACCCGGGCGGTTTGGGTCGGGCCCGGTTAATTTTTTATTGGGCTTTTCAGTTTTTTTCTCTTTTCCTAGGGTAGGACTGGGTGTTTTGGGGAGGTTTGTGGGGGGGGGGGGGGGGGGGGGGTCGCAGGTTAATTAGAAAGGAAAAAAAAATTACATTGACTCGGGCCCGGCCCGGTTAGGCCTGGACCCGGGCCGGTTCCGGGCCCTACAATCTGGAAAAAAGCCCGCACGGAACCGGCCCAGCCCGGGTCCATCCCTAGTAACACGGTAGAGTATTCTTTTCTTATCACTTTATATCTGTTATTTATATTTTTAGTGTTACTAAAATATACATGAAGTTTTATCGTACAACAGGCTATGAAGTATGAAATGAGATTTAAGAACACGTTATTTGTTATGTAATGAATCCCAACGTGTTAATATTCTTGCCACATGGATGTTTTTTTGTCATTATTACAAAATAGTGTTCGTATTACTTTATTTTTCACCTCTCTATCCCGTATTTATGTTTTTACTTTTCATTTTTGAGTTGTTTCATATTAAAGTTCACATTTCCACTAAAGATAATTTTCATACGGAAAAAACATTTATCTCACATTTTAATAATGTAGGCCCGGAACTGGCCCGGCTAGCTACTGGGTCGGGCTGGCCGGCTGGGTCCGGGCTAGGGATTGACTCGGTTCGGGCCGGGCCCGGTTCGGGCCTTGAACCGGCCGGGCCTCGGTTCAAAGTATGGGAGGACCGGAACCGGCTCGGGTAACCCCCGGGTCCGGGATGGGCCGGGCTGGGCCTCGGTTATATATATATACTCCCTCCGTCCCGCTAGAAGGTTCCCGTGAACGGTTTACGATGCTTGACTGACGATAAAGCAACTTAATTCTTGTTCACACACTGGTTAGTTTTAGTAAATAAAATTAATATATTCAGAAACTACATTAAAATCACTACAAAGGCTGATAAAAAAATGTAAATTTGATAGAAATTTGATTTATAAAGTAAACGATTAAAAATGATTTAAGTTGACCATCCAAATAGTGGACGGGAACCTCCTCATGGGACGGAGGTAGTATTTTTTTTTTGGGCTTTTCCTAGTTAACCCCCAAGCTCCAACCCTCCCCCTCACCCCAAACCAACCTTAACCACCTCAAATGGCCCAAAATATCCAGCCCAACCCAAAAACTTAAAAAAATTCAAAAAAAAAAAAAATTAAAATTGGCCCGGGCTCGAACCGGCCGGGCCGGTTCACCTTTTGAAGGCCCCGAGCCCGAACCGAGATCCCACCGGGCCGGGTGGCCCGAACCGGCCAACCAACCGGTTCACCGGGCCGGTCTGGGCCCGCACAATAGCGGGCCGGTCTGGGCCCGCACAGTAGCGGGCCGGTCCGGTTGGCCCGGCCCGAGTCCTCCCCTAGTCCGGGCTATTTTTTACTTCTTTTTTATGTTTACAAATTACTTCAAGAATTGCTATATATAAAAAACTTAGAGTATGTTTATTTGAAATATGAAGTACAATTGAGAATTGAGAAAATTTTAAAACATGAAATACATTTTCTAATAACTAATAATCAATTGGAATCTCTCCTATCTTCAGTTGTTTCCTCCATAAAGTGGCGGGTGGGGGTTGTTCACTTCTTGAGTTCTACTTTGGGTCTTCAACCAATTGTGGAAGGAAACAAGCGTCTCAAGAGAGTTTACGCTCAATCTCGTTCTGTAATCCCGTTAGCAGTTTGTGCTCAAACTCGCTCAAGCTCAAGTATATATTAAGTAGATGTAATATGTAAATATAAGTAAATAACAATAATATAATCAGTAGATAATAAGTAGATATTAAGTTAGACATGGCAATGGGTCGGGGTGGGGTGGGTACTTCAAGACCCAGACCCGCTCCGCGACTTGACAGGGCGGGTCCACCCCGCCCCGTGACCTGCACAGGTCCAAACTTGTTGACCCATGACCCGCCCCATGCAGGGTGGGTTTGCCCGTCGTAACCTAATTAGCTAGTATGTATTTTTATTTGTGAGAAGTTGTTACCAATTGAATCTACATTAAGTTTATCTTTAAATAATTATTAAAAATTAATATATTAAATCAAATTCAGGATAAGCTAGAAATTTCAAAAGTTAAAGAAAAATCACTTAGACTTGAATAGTTAATCTATTTAATTATATTAATATGCGAATATATGTATTAAAATGTTATATGTAAAAAAACATTGATAACCTGTCGTTCATTTCAATCTTATATATATATATATAGGGGTGGACCGGTTCCGGTTCGGGCCGGGCCGGGCCTCGGTTCATGAACGGGAGGCTCGGAACCGGCCCGGGTAACCCCCGGGTCCGGGCCCCAAACACCCTAACAACCTCAAATGGCCTAAAATACCCAGCCCAACCCAAAAATTAAAAAAAAATTCAAAATAATAATAATAATAATAAATTGGCCCGGCCCGAGCCCAAACCGGCCGGGCCAGTTCACCTTTTGAAGGGCCCGAGCCCGAACCGCCATCCCACCGGGCCGGGCCGGGCCCGCACAGTAGCGGGCCGGTCCGGTTCCGATATATATATATAGGGGATGATTCAAATAAAAAGAGGTCTTAACGTGCAAAGTGAAAAGTTTACACTTTTTCATGTTTCTTGCACTTTTTCGCGATAGCTCAAAAAAATTGGTTTATTTACAAAATTGTCACCGTCATTTTGGCTGAATTTGGCCAAAATCAAAATGGGCAAAAAGTGCAACGCAAATAACAAAAAATGCAAGCGAAACGTGAAAAAGTGAAAACTTTGCACTTTGCACGGGAAGACCACTTTTCATTTGAACTCTTCCCTATATATATATATATATATATATATATATATATATATATATATATATATATATATATATATATATATATATTCTGGAGGAAACAACTATAGATGCTTGGAAATTAATTAACCCTTAAAACCGACACCGTCCCCGACAACGGCGCCAAAAACTGATGTTAGTTTTCTCACACTTAAAATAGATCGTAATATAGTGGTGTAAGTATCCACGTGGACGGACAAAAGGGAATTAAAGATTAACTAAATTCAGCGATTAAAAATAAATAAAATAAACGTGTCGTGTGAGATTTGGTTGGTTGAATTGAAATTAAACTAAAGCGAATGAGCGATTAAAATAAACGGTTGGGTTCTTCTTAATTAATGACGAAGGGAACAAGGATTGATTCCAGGGTAATCAGATTTCTGGCAGATCAAGCTTAGTTACATAAAATTAATTTAATTGAGCCTAGCCAATCAATACTAAGTTCTTACCGCTCTCACGGCGTAGAGTACAATAATTTAGGGGACCATATTGATCTCTCATGCGACAGGATCCTAAATTATTGCCAAGACGAGCGAGCTTACGGGCCCCTAAATCGCTACTAATCACTTAGTGAACGATTAACTGTGTGTGAGTGTTTTAAAATTAACTAGATCTCTCTTAATTTATTTTACAAGCAATTGTAATTCTAGCTGCGGTTCTAGGTTACAAAAGATAGCAATTAAATTGTTCAAACACAAATTAAACGACATTCATGCAATTAATCTGTCAAGAAACTAGTCATACATCGTGATTAACCCCTTCATCAATCCCAAATCCGTAATTAAAACTACTCCCGACTCATAATTGAAGAATCAATAGAATCGGGAAGAATAGAAATAATTGTCATTATTTAAAAAGACGGAACTTACAAAGAATCCCAAAAGATTGATGAACAAGGATTTAAACCTCTCTAAATTTCGTGCTAGGCATTCTCTCTAAGCTCCCCCCTTGAAAATGAGGGTTTACAGGCTGTTTAAATAGAAAGATCGGGTAAAGTTTGAGCTGAATTGGAATTTCCGGAGGTAGGCACGGTGCCAGGCACGATCATGCCTTCGATCGTGCCTCCGGATCAAAAACACGCATTTCGGGCAGACACGATCGTGCCTGCCTGGCAGTAGCTCCTTGATGCTTTCTCTTCACGCACGATCGTGCCTAACATTGAGAGCACGATCGTGCCTACTTATCTTCCGAATTTGGCAATGCTTCTTTCATGAAAGTTGTAGATAAAGAAGTCCTCTATCCACCCTAATTTGCCTAATGTGATTTAAATCATCCAATCAAGAAATATGATCAAAACGGTGGAAGGTATCATTCTGAAATCGCAGCAGAGATCATCTCACTTCATCGTCTGTTTTCACCTTCTTTCTCTACGATTCTAGCAAATGTGTCGTCATATGATTTGTAGACCTTGCAGTTAGCTCTCATATGGACTTTGAATCGTGTACATTAAATGTTTTTACAAAGAGATATGCTTGAACAATTGACAGAAGGTCATCCTGATCGCCGATTTCAAGCTCCATTCATCTTCTTTTGATCCCGTAGCCAATCCTAGAGCTATTTTTCCTTTAAATCTTCATTGTGAACCTCCCGGTGACCTCCAAATCTCTCAAATAACTCTCGAATGCTTCTCAAATCACCCCTTTTTGCTCCTCAAGCGCTGGTGCCGAACTCTAAATTCCTGATTTTGACTCCAAATAACACAAAACTCGAACCAACACCCGGTAACTATGACTTGAGCTAAAAATGAGACTTGTGACACAAAATAATTAGGGAAACCATCAAAAGTCGATCTAAACATGCATCAAATGCGTGTCTAAATACGGACTTATCAGATTCCTCCACACTTAAGCTTTTGTTTGTCCTCAAGCAATCTGAACGACGGGACTTACAATAATCACCACACGAAATTAAAATCATCAGCATGCACAGGTAGTTACAGGGATACTCACAGAACAGACAACCTAAATCAAGAAAATTCTTCCCTAAACTACACCTTTGTACTCTGACTAAAATTATTGACAAAATTATTCATAACATCCTCAAAGTAGTGACAGCCTACACTAATAAACTAGCTACTGATCAGAAGGACTTGTGAGGGCGATGGTGAATGGTAAGGAATAAACAGTCCCTTTCTTTGAGAGCTTTGGAACAACCTAACAAGGACTTAATGCATTCAGGAATTTCAGGGCTATTCTTAGGATCATGGAATTAAGTAGAACACAAATTAGGAACTATCATCTAAACTATGCAAGAAGCAAACATGGTGTACAACTAAGCTAAACCGTCGCGGCACATTGGTGCTTTGACGTATACTTGAAGTACGCGAAGGACTAATGCTAATTTTTGCAATAGCCTTCAAGTTCAATTAATTAAGTTCAGTATTCCTTGTCATGTTGGCACGAGAACGCCATTTCTTTCGAAAGATCTCCAAGTCTCATCTTATTGTGCAGAACACTTACGCTTTTTGACTAGGTCTCCCATTCTCTTTTTCGCAAAATAGGCAAAATAGAGGTCTAGCTATTTAATTAATGTTTTCAATTTTCAGATTTTCACTAGAAATTACCTCATTCTAATCTCGGCCTCACCAAGGAAAATTAGGCAATTAGCAATTAAGGTTCAATTATTCAA